GAGGGAGAACCCCCGCAAAGCAGCTGGGCCAGACTCTGTCTCTCCAGCCACCCTCAGGCATTACGCTGACACCTCCCTGGAGACATGCCATGTACCAGCCTGTCTCAAGTCCTCCATCATCCCTGTGCCCAAAAAGCTAAGGCCAACAGGAATAAATTATTATAGACCGATCACCCTTACCTCTGTGGTAATGAAGTATTTTGAGCGCCTGGTCCTGTCACACCTCAAAGCCATCACAGACCCTCTCCTGGACCCCCTTCAGTTTGCCTACAGAGCCAACAGGTCTGTGGACGACGCAGTTAACATGGCCCTCCACTTCATCCTACAGCATCTGGACTCCCCAGCATCCTACACCAGGATCCTGTTTGTGGACTTAAACACCATTTATCCCTGCCCTGCTTCAGGACAAGCTCTTCCAGCTGAACGTGCCCGACTCCACCTGCAGGTGGATCACAGACTTCCTGTCTGACAGGAAGCAGTGCGTTAAGCTGGGAACACAAGTTTCTGACTCCAGTTCCATCAGCACCGGAACTCCTCAGGGCTGCGTCCTTTCCCCACTGCTGTACACCAACAGCTGCACCTCCAATCATCTGTCAAACTCCTTGAAGTTTGCGGACGACACTACCCTCATTGGGCTGATCTCTGGTGGGGATGAGTCTGACTATAGGTGGGAAGCTGACAACCTGGTGACCTGGTGTAGCCAGAACAACTTAGAGCTAAATGCTCTAAAGACATATACTTGGTTCTTTCGGTAATGTCACGTAAAAGGGAAACAATAAAAATATAAAACAATACAATTCTCACAACGTTTCGACAGCAACACAAGCAATCATCATCAGGTGTGAAAACCACAACAAGTGACTTTACCGAAATAACCAAGAATGATTCCCTGCAGTCACGAAAGTTTTAAATCAAAGCTCTAAAGACAGTTGAGATGGTTGTGGACTTCATGAAGAATACAGGCCCACTCACCCCCAATCACCCTGTGTGACTCCCCAGTCAAAACTGTGGAGTCCTTCCGCTTCCTGGGCACTATTCTCTCCCGGGACCTCAAGTGGGAACTGAACATCAGCTCCCTCACCAAGAGAGCTCAACAGAGGATGTACTTCCTACGGCAGCTGAAGAAAGTCAACCTGCCAAAGACAATGATGGTGCACTTCTATACAGCAATCATTGAATCCATCCTCACCTCCTCCATAACCGTCTGGTACGCTGCTGCCACTGCCAAGGACAAGAGCAGACTGCAGTGTACCATCCACACTGCTGAGAAGGTGATTGCCTGCAATCAACCAACCCTCGAGGACCTGCACACCTCGAGGACCATGAGGCGAGCGAGGAATATTGTGGCCGATTCCTCCCACCCTGGACACTCTTTGTTCCAGCTACTCCCCTCCGACAGAAGGCTGCGGTCCATCAGGGCCAAAACCTCACGCCACAAAAAAACAGTTTCTTCCCATCCGCTGCTGGCCTCTGCAACAAGGCCAAGGGCTTACATTGACTTTAACATTTTATCTACAAAATGACACCTTGCCATATTTACACTGTTACCCTATTTGTTTTTTTTGATTGTATCTTATAGCTACTTTATATTCAATATGTATTAATTTTTTTACATACTTTAGCCCCTTAGTGTTAGTTAGACTTTGTACCTTTAGTTAGACTTGTATACCACTTATTTAAGATTCCTATATGTTGAATGTATGCACCTTCCTGCCAAAGTAAATTCCTTGTCTGTGCGAACTTTCATGGCGAATTAAACCCTTTCTGAGAGGCTTCTAGGGTGAATTCTTATTCGCGTCAGCTGGCCAATGAACGTCTGCAGGGACGGCATATTTTGCTCATTTATATTTTATGTTTCAATATGTATGCACTGTTGGACTTCTTTTACACCGTACGTAGCCAATGGTGCCAATCGGAGGTGCATTTAGAGCACGCTTGGAATCCACTGCTGGATGAGGGCCTCCCTACACTGTCTGTGTAGGCAATGGAGGATTATTTGACCACATTTCACCACGTTGGTCAGTGCAGGTTGGTGGTGGTGGGGAGAGTTTCAATTCCTGGAGTTTGTTGCTCTTCCCTTTACTGCCCACAACGCCTATTGCAACAGCCGCCATTCACCACTAAGTGGCGGTGATTTCACCACGGCGCCTGTGCCAGGCCAGGTGCCCTTTAAGGCCACGTGAAGTGTCGAAGGCCCGCTGACAGGTCACGGGACAGACCCAGCAGATGGCATGGGTTGACTGAAATTACTGGCAAGATGCACCACCTGTCTCCCACGGTGCCACCTTGCTGCGTTTTATCTGCCTGGCGCTTCGCTCGTTGTTGTGAGCATTGTTCCTATGCCCTCCATTGTTGTTGCTGGAGTGCGACTGCCTCTAACTGCCCAGTCGCATCATTTCACGAGCATACTCGATAGAGGTCAATCGTGACACCGCTGGTACCGGTCATCGGCAAGTCCACTCAACTCCATATCCTCAACGCCCATTCCACCTGTATTGTCATGCGGTGGCGGTCGCTCATTCAGGCACGATCCAGGTTCAAAACCTGCTTAGCTCCTCAAATCTGATGAGATGATTTTCATTCCGCGTGATTTCGCACAAGATGCCCGTTATATCACAACGCAGGTGTTACGTTTCATTATTTATTTCTCGCATGTTTTAAAACGATACACGAGGTTAAAAAAATCACGATATAACGGCAAAATGTTAAATTTTTTGCAACAGAAAACCCAGCGTGCTCTGCATGTCCAGATGACACCGCGTCTACTGTGCACAGCTTTGTGGTGATGGCTCAGCAGGTCAAACCAGCAGCTCAGCGAGACTCAAGAACACGGATTTTTTTTATTTACGGCAGCAGATGCACGTCAAGGAAACTGCGTCACCATTTCATCTAGACCATGGACATCATCGGCGCAGTGAAGCTGTCATTGTCTACCGCTGCCAATTTATGCCTGGGAGACTCGCGCTTCAAAACCGTTTGCCAAACGATTAATCGCGGCGCGCATCAACGGCGGCGCTCACTACACACACAAAGTGCTTGCCGCAAATGAACCAGGATACCTTCGGTTATCTCATCCAAGAGCATAAACCACCATCACATGAACTCCGGTCATTCACGTAGCAGTAACAGCAGCAGATTTTGGCTCAGCCATGAAACAAAAACGGTGGTCACCGCATCGCGTGCTTTCAGATTATCTTCTGCTGTCTGGAACGCTCTTCCTTCCGATATTAGGAAGCCACTGGAGCTATGCACTTTTAAATCTATGTTGAAAACTAATTTTCATAGAACTGCTTTTTGTGTTTCGTTTGTTGTCCTTTCCCCGCACCTCCAATTAGCACGGTTGGCTACGTACAGTGCGAAAGAAGTTCAACGTGCATACTGCTGTGTACGTGTTTGCAGTTGTGCCGCACGGCTCTCCGACGTGTTATTGTGGCCGTTCCGCTCGTTGTTCGGCACGATGTCCAACGTTTTATCCCCACGTGCTGGGAGCTTCTTCGGGAATTGATCATATCAGTCCAATCCAGTTCCTGAAAGAAGCTCCCAGCACGTGGGGCGAAACGTCGGACATCCTGCCAAACGAAGTGCTTTACGACCTGAAAACCACATCGGAGTGCTGTCGTCTACTGCTCATCAACCTTAAGCGATGGCCAACGCAACAAGGAAGCGACGCTGATGAAGGGTGCAAGCACAAGTTTGCCAAGGTCTTTTTCAGACTTATTTCCACATCAAATTATATTGTCAAACATCTGTGATAAACTGTTGTATCTTCTGCAGTTGCTTTGAGATATAATGTGAAAATGTAATAAGGTTATTTCATAATAAACTAAATAGGTTGGGTAACATGCGTGTGGGACTGTATTACTTTGACAACTTGCACGTACAAATTCACACGTGGAACGATTTGATTTTTCAAAAAGTGATATTCAGATAATATTTATGGAACAATAATATTAATTAATAAACATGTCGATCCACCGCTGGAGTATGGCCTCCCCCCCACACCGTGTCAGTCATGGAGTTTTATGACCATACTTCCCCGCGCCGGTCAATGTGGGTAGACGAGGGCGAGCTCTCATGGACAGGTACAGGTGTCACCGCTGTGCTTATGTGATCTGGGTACAAACTTGAATACGCCAACTGGATGAACGGTCCGTGGCGTTATATTTGTGGCCGACTCTCTGTCTTGTATTGCATTATATTTCTATGTTTACTAGGTTTGTTTTCTCTTTCATTTGTACCTGATGATGATTGCTTGTGTTGCAATCGAAACGTCGTATTCTATTTAATTTATTATCTTTCTACGTGACTTTACAGAAATAACCAAAGAGTAATTTCTGCAGTAACGAAAGCCCCAAATCAAGTTTGAACCACCTCTACGGAGAGGTTTTAAGTTTGTTTTCTCTCTCTCTCTCTCTTTGTGTGTCTTTCTCTGCTTGTGTGTCTGTCTTTGTGTTTCCATGTCTGTGTCTTGTCTCTCTCTCTAAAATTTCACACTTAACCTCTAATTTAGCAATCTCTGGAAGAACGTAATCAACCAGGCTATGCGTTAATTGTGTGTTGACCGACTCTCTGTGTTGCATCGCATTACATTTCCAAATTTTGCGAAGTTTGTTTGATTAAGTGTGTTTTCTCTCTCTCTGTGTCCTCGTGTTGTAGTATTTCCTGCAGTCACGAAAGCTCCAAATCTGTCATTGACATGCTAATTTCTCTACCCACCCCCTCTCTCTCTGTCCCCCTCTCTCTCTATTTAAGGCCTCGACACAGAGGTGTTGTTTCTCTGTGTGCCTATGTGTGTGTCTCTGTGTGTCTCTGTGTTATCTCTCTCTGCTTATGTGTCTGTCTGTGTCTCTGTGTCTTGTCTCTCTCTCTCAAATTTAGAAATCTTTGGAAGAACGTAATCAACCAGGTAGGGTGTTGACTGTTATGTTAGCCGACTCTCTGTGTTGTATTGCATTATATTTCTCAGTTTACTAGGTTTGTTTTCTCTTTCATTTGCACCTGATGATGATTGCTTGTGTTGCAATTGAAACGTTGTATGCTATTATTTAATTTATTTTCTTTCTATGTGACTTTACCGAAAGAACCAAAGAGTAATTCCTGCAGTCACGAAAGTTCCAAATCAAGTTTGGGACACTAAGTTTGGCATAGCGAAGGTATCTCCTGATATGTATAGAGTATTCCCTCGTTATTCACGAACTTGTTATCTGCGATTTTGGCTATCCACAAATCGCATCTGGAACTCTACACGATGGCATAGAGAGAGAATGCGATGACAAAGTTACGGGTGTGCAAGTGTTGAGAGAGCAAGCGATGAGATATAACATGATGAGAGATAAAGTGATGACAGATAAAGCAATGAGATATAGGGATAAGATAAGTAGATATTATAATTGTCACATATTTAATAGCTTACATATGCATTTTTTAAATAATTCTTTAGAACTGCTTGTTTGTGTTTAGTTTATTGTCCTTCTCCCGCACCTCCAATTAACACGGTCGGCTACGTTCTGCGTGAAAGAAGTTCAACATGCGTACGTACGTAAGTCGTCTGTGGCAGACATTAATTATTTATTTGGCCTAAAAAATCATTTCAAGGCGGGGACAGCCGCAAGCACTGCCCTGATCCTGCTCAACAGCGCTTCGTGCAACCCCAAGCTGTGCGGTTGCTCCCGCAGGACCCTTCGGAAGCTGACGAACCCCTCGGAGAGTATGCCCAGCGAGAAGTTGACGATCACGAAGGTGTTCACAGACGTGAAGGCGAAGTAAATCAGAGGCCCGAGGACGCGGTTGGCCGCGTACAGCTCGCCATAGCCCGGCTGACCCAGGAGCAGGGAGAACAGCTGCTCCAGGCACGTGGTGAACGTGCGGTAGTTCCGCAGCGAGCCGGCGAACAGCAGGCTGGTGAGTTGGCCGAAGCTGCAGAAAACGACGACCACGATGACTGCGAAGCCCTGGATGTGGTCCCGCGCCTCCGAGAAGGCGCCGACGAGCACCTCGAATTGCCTGAGGGACTTCATGTGGCCTAGCACCTTGATGGTGCTGACAAACACGAGGGTCGCCAGCAGTTCCGAGAGCTGCTGGTCCCACGTGACCAGCTCCTGAAAGTTGACAAACTTGTCTATAAAAGAAGAGAGAATGGGCCCATTGAGATGTTGCGCTCTGAACGATGTCCATTGAGATTGAGTAATCGTGCCGGCAATCTGTAGACTCAGAGATTACAGCACTTACAATAATGGGGAATATATAACTCCAGCACCACTTTCGAAGAACAAATCAACAATTGATCGTTAAACGTACCGGTCCAGAGAGACCTGCCCGTGGCAGTTTGTGAAGAACTTACGTGGATCCGTTCTGAACTTCTCAAGCGTGCGCGTGGCCACGCTCATCTTGATGAAGTAAGTGACCACGGAGGCTGCACCCAGCGTGATGCTCAGCAGCTCCGCGATGTTCCAAAAGCTTTTGAAGTACGCCACGCCAAGTTCAGACAAGCGCAGGGCCTCCGTGGCGGCAATGATCACCAGCAGGATGGCAAAGACGATGTAAACTACGCCAGTCAGGGTTTCTAATTTGCCCACAAAGCTCTCTATCCTAAACACGTGGATGTATGCGTGCCCATGCGCATCACCTGAAAAACAGTGAACAACATATGTCAATTTAACACGTCGGCTTTCGCGACCAATATTACCCATAATAGAGGTTACTGGGTTAGGTCACGTAGAAATAAATTGTAATTTATATGCATACATTAACACCCCCCAACCCCCCAGCCTTTCGCACCTGATTGGCTCACAAGTGACAACATCACATTTATCCCTCTATTTAAGACCAAACCAAGAGGATGTCTCCACAACTCTGGCTGTCGCCTGATGATTCTGGTTGTAATTACCAGTGAAACGTTGTACTCGAATTGTAAATGTTGTGGATTTACTCTCCAACACAACCGGTGTGCTGTACTAGTCACGTGACAAACCTTACTAATTGGCTGTGTTGAGTGGTGGCAGGTTTAACGAAACAATTATATTTACACAATCTAACCCAAAAACCTCTCTTGGATAACATATGTGAAGTAAATACATATTCTTGTGCTGTCATTATAATAATGTTCTGAAGAATGGAGATACTGCCGCGGTGTTAATGGTCAACCCACTGGACTTGCGATCCAGAGGTCACCGGTTCTATTTCCCCGCACGGCAGATGAAACAATGGTGCAAGTTTCTTAAAGGGTGCCGCGGTGGCGAGATGTTAACTATCTTGCCGAGTATGCAGGAGGCTATGGGTTAGATCCTGACCCTGATGCCTTTCTGTATATTTGGAATTATATTTTTCAATGGGTTCTCTGGTTTTTCTCTCCACATTTAGAATCAACATGCGATTTGAGTATTGGGCTGTTGCTTAAATTTCCACACGACACGCTACTTTGTTGAGCTATCATATATGGCCAGGTCGCTTCTGAAAAACAGTTACGTACGTAGCTCAGTTGGCCTTACCTGGTAGAAATAAAACTAAAATCTATGTCTCCATGAACCAACAGTATAAATGTATACACCATTGTTAGTGGATTGGGAGTTTGTGTGTGCGTTGGGGTAGAGTGTGAGTACTCCTACTTCTTCCAAGATGTTTAGCCAGCTTGGAAGAGTAGGCCAAAATATGCCCGTAGAGGGGCCCTTCTTCTTACCGCCTTGCGAGAACTCCAGGAGGAGGGTGACGGAGCAGAAGAGGTCTGTGTTCATGTTGTAGCCGGTGAACTCGGTCAGCACGGCCCTTGTGCTGTGGTCCAGCCAGGAAGCTGAGCTCAGGTTGGCCACGATCTCCGTGCCATCCGCGAGGTTCAACCCCAGTTCAGCGATGAACCCTCCTCCCGAATAGAGCGCGAGGTCTCCTGTGAATTGTAAACGTTCTGGGTTTACTCTCCAACACACAACCAACTGGTGTGGCTGGCTAGTAACGAAATTGCACGTTTTTGTTTACGTGACCAACCCTTACTAATTGGCTGTGTCGGATGGTGGCAGGTTTAACGACACGTATATTTAAGCGATCTAACACCAAAAAAACTCCTCCATTAAGGTCTCCTGGGATGCCACACGGGCACCAGTTGAGTGACGCGATGCGAGAAGACTTAAGGGACGGGATTAAAACAGTTGTTGTTTAAAGTAGTAGTGAATGGTCTTGATTGGGAGTGAGCGATTTGATTCAATATGTAAGATTAATACTGTAGTACATATGAAGTATATGGAAAACTATTGTTGATTACTCGCTCTTTAACAAATCATGCGAATACAAACGCAAATATTTTCATGCACATTAAGTTCGTGGGATTCCACAGCAGCTGGCCGCGGAGGTAGGGAAGTTCGTGGGGGGGAAATGGTAAAATTACAGGAGATTGTTAACATGCAATGCTGGGAAAATTACTGCACCATTGTGGAGAATGCGAACAACACAATATTGTATTAACTTTCTCATGACTGCGTAATTCAACCCTTTAGCCAGTACCTATTTTAGGCTGTCGGAAATTGGGATGTTACTATGATTGATTACAATCTTGTTAACATCTAACTTTTTAGTATGTGGCTCTAGCTTTTTTTTTGACAGGAGGTTGAACTTTACATTTGGTTGACATTGAAGTTGCTTAAGAAACTGTCATATTATCTACATGGTCCCAATCAGATGTGGACATTTGATCTATTAATTCTAAGTGTGATTGTAAGATAACTTTGTCTAAATTATCAAGTTCAAATCGGAGCCATCTTATTCTGTCTGAGATTAGAGCTAGGCTGGCCCTAAACAAGATCCGTTTAGAGTTAGGAGAAGTGACAGCAGCAGATGTGAGTGTAAAGGCAATCAGTATTACTTTGGTGTCGCGGCATCTCTTCATAAAGGTGAGAGACTCGATAAGGTGAGCCTTGTTGTCTCGCAGTCTGTTAAAAGATCTAATAGTTGTGTGGAAACTCTCCCCGTAGAGGCGGTTCAATCTTGATTTGAAGCTTTCGTGACTGCACTTTCTACCCCGCCCCCCCCCCTTCTCTCTCCCCCCCCCCCCCCCCCCTGCAGCCGATCTCTCCATTGCTGCTGCGGTGGTCCACTTTACTCCAGTGACCCGGGTGCTGCTGCGCAGTCCACTTTCTGCCCCGTCTCCTCCCGCCCCCCCTTCACTCTCCCCCCCCTACTGCCGAGGCCTGTATAACCTCGTGCCACGGCAGATCTCTCGCCTACTGTAGCAGTTTTTTCTTGCTGTGGTTGTCCCACCTGATGACGATTGCTTGTGTTGCGATCGAAACGTCGTGATTTATTATTTTTCTACCTACGTGACTTTACCGAAATAACCAGTCACGAATGCTTGAGAAAAAAAAATGAACAAACTTGTACGTACGTCCAGTTGCCTATTCGGACCGAGAGTCGTAAGTTCAGCCTTATATGTTTGGAATCAACAGGAGTAAAGTTGGACGTACGAACAAATCGACTTACGAACAGACCTCTGGAACCTAACTCGTTCATAAGTAGAGGAGTCCCCGTATTATCATTGGCATCGTGTCGTAAGATGAAGCATCGATTTGAATCTCGCGCAAATCATTGTTGTGGTATAAGAGAATGGCCCCGCAGAGGAAGTGGATATTGCAGAGCTACCTCTGAGATCCCTTTAAGTGACCTCTGGTTCCACACAGTCGTGGGTGCCACTTACTACCTGCCCTGCCACTTACCACCCGCCCTGCCACTGAGCAATTTTGACGACAGTCAAACCAATATTTTAGACATTCTCAAGAGCTGGAATTTATCCCAATTAAGTGCAGAACCGAATGTAATTAAATTATTATTTAGTTATTGTTGCTGTGTGTGCAAATATTGGTGATCTGTGACTGTGAACTCACTACACTCGAGGACCCGGACTAGTTCAACCCGGCATCTCGGCAGTGCCATTGTGGAGAATGCGAACAACAAAATATCGTATTAACTTTCTCAACAACGAAGCCTCTTACCTACTGTACGTTACGTATTATATTTCACAGTTTTATTTTGTGTTTATATATGTATATGCAGAATATTTATTTCTGCCTGACCCTACTGGATGTGAAGAAACCGGCTTGCTTGTATTGAGGCAAATGCTGCACTCCCTTGAAGGCTGTGAGACCGACTGGTTGGCCTTCAACCATAGCCAAGCAACTCCTGATCACCTCTGTCAGAACCCCACCCCCCCCCCCCCCCCCGATTGTTTTGCACCATCGCACAGTAGTTTTCAATCTTACCGACTGTCGTGAGCCCTTGTAAAGCCTGGGCGGTGCTGTATGACCAATAATTCCGCTGGCCCGATGTGTTCGTGGAATTCGCACTCTGCCACCCTTCCAGAAAGCTGCCGGTCATTTCTTCATCGCCGCCGGGCACTTTGTGCTGTAAGCCCATGACATCGTTGAAGCGCTCTGAGAATAAAATGAAACGCGCGCACGCGCGGGGTTAACTTCCTATTCATCTGGCAGCTATGCAATATCGTGGGGCCTTTTTGGCAGTATCAAAGTATGAAAAATAAGAATTGGTTTTACCCTTTCTGGCACTAAAACAGGTGTTAGGATTTTGTTAATATTCTTGGTTCTTTCGGTAAAGTCACGTAGAAGGGAAACAATAAAATAATACAAATATAATAGGTGTTAGGATGTTCAAACACCAAATAGATACCTTTTACCTGCTGTATTGCCAGAAAGGGTGAATTAAAAATTATTCTTATTTTTCATACTTTGATACTGTCAAAAAGGTGTCCCATGGTATATAGCTGCTCACCCTGAGCTATAAATGCTCTGCATCGTGCATTGTCTTTGTACTGTTCGCCTTTTGGTGTTCTTTGGTCTGACACTGGTGAGATTAGGCCATACAGAAAGCTGTCTCTGGTGTATGCCTATCAGTTTCAAAGACAATGCATATACTATCAAAGCATGTTTGTGTGCATGTTAACCACAAGTACTGTGTGTGGTTAATACAGACTCGAATCCTTGCAAAAGGTATCGAATTGGTGTTTTAACATCTTAACACTTCCTGTGTTATTGCCAGACGTGTGTAATCCTTGCACACTGTAAAGTTTCAGCACGACTGAAGCCGTATAATTCTAAATATTCTGTACTTCTATTACCGCTTTCCGGAAACGTTATTGCAAAATACTGTCATTGTGGGTTTGGTGCCACGGTGGGTCTAAGGCTGGCACCAAGTTCCCAGTGCGGGCACCAAGTCCCAGTGCTGGCAGGGGCTGGGACGGTGGTCACGTGGTGGTGAGTACAGGGAGCACTGTGATTGGCCTAAGCGGTGCGTACAATGAAGCTAATAGCTTTACCTGGTAAGATAAATAAAAAGCTTGAATTGTATATATTTTTTAAAGTGATTTGTTTGCCTTTCCTATAATTTGCACTCCTGTCGTGCTATTCGTACTGTTTGTTGTTGTAACGTGCTAACCTGCCACTACTGGACATCTGTTAAAAAAGAGCCTCATAGCTCATCAGATCCCTCCAGTATTAATACATATTTTGATTTTGATTGCCGAGTTAGCAGAGGGGGGCATGGTAATAGTTCTACCTGTGGAGTTCTTAGTGCCTCGTGTTCCTTAAAAAAAACTGTCAATAACGATGTGTGCTTAAAATGCTCAATATATATCAGGCGGCGGGTAGGGCAATGATACACAGAGAGGTCAGAGCGACAGAGTAGACAATACGAGTTGGTGGCTCCACTGTACACCGTGGGACGTGATGAGAATCACATTTTTTGACTTTCCCCGATGACCCAGTTTTTGTTAAATTGGTGTGCAACAGTAGCTATTAAGTAACAGGAAAACCCGTCGTAAATCAAAAAGTATTAGCAAGATAAATGTCGATAAACATTATAAAATCTTTTCGGCACCATTGCATTTTGCAGTCTCCTACCACTCTTATTATCCACTCCGGCTGGCCTCTCGTTACGTGTGATAAGGACCGTGGCACAACATATCAGCTATTATCTAATTTAAATGTTACGCCACAATGTTCTTATCTAGAAACATGCCTTTTTAGATTATTTAAGTTATTCTGCTGCTATAAATGTCCACCATAATGATACGTCACTTCGTTCAGCTTTCATTTGTGGCTGGGTCGTTTATGAAAACGCTAATAGCTCAGTGGGCTATACCTGGTAAGATAAAAATAGTTGTTTTATTCGAATATATATTTTAAATGATGTATTTAGCGCCCGTCCATAAATGACGTCATGCACCTGGGGGGGGGTCGGACATTTGTGACGATGTGTGACGAGGGGGGGAGGGGGGGGGGTTGAGAAATGTGACGTCACTTAAAAATGCGCATCTTCACATAAATATGAATACAAAATAATTGTTATAACAACACTAAGTTTGATTTTCATTATTAACAATTTGATTCTTTAAATTTTCTAAGGTCACCTTTATTTATTATGTAAAGGAGCATTTTGCTTTCCCATGGGAGAATGGAGAAGCATAAAGTTTGTAAATGTTTTGAATGATTTGTTATTAAACATTTTTATTCTGATTCTACCAGGGCTTTTCATTCTGTGAAATTAATGTGATTGTTATAATTGTACTCTACATTTTGCATCGTTCTACTACAAAGTTTAAAGTATTTTTTTTATAGTTATAATTACTTTTAATACTTTATAATTATGAGATAATTTCAATATGATATTCTAAACATCAGCAGTTTTAGTTAGACGTTGAATATTTTCAAGTAAATTTTATGCTAAATTTCAGCTTTCCAACGCCAGAGTGCAGCGCCACATTAAATACGCACTGCAATGACAATAGTTTAAAGTGTCTTCTGGGTTCCGAAATAACCCAGAAGATGAATCCCTGCAGTCACGAAAGCTTTAAATCGAAATTTAGTTTAAAGTGATTTGAAGCATGTTTTATTTTCAATATAACAATAGTTTTGAGGGGGGGGGGGGGGGCCGAGCTTTGTGACGTCATATTTGAGGGGGGCCTGACTTTTTGTGACGCCGTGTGACAAGGGGGGGAGGGGGGGGCAAAAATCGGCCAAAATCGCGTGACGTCATTTATGGACGGCCCCTTACCTCTTCCATTGTGTTTTTGCATTGCTTGTTGTCATAACGTTCTGACCAGCCCGACTGGACATTTGTGAAAAAAGAGTTTTATAGCTCATTGGATTCCTCCAGTATCAATAAATATTTAGATTGAGTGTTGTTGTTAATTGTGCTTATGCACCACTGCCACCACAGCAGCAGCGACAGCAGCGTCACCAAATAATCTGTTGTATTATTCAGCGCCCTGTTCCTAACATGTAAAGCCTTCCTCACTGCTCGTTTTCGTTGCGTTGTCCCCTCCCCGCACCTCTGATTAGCACGGGCGGCGACCACATACGGTGCAGAAAGAAGTTCAACATACGAATACAAACATTAGGATCAGTGGACGTGGGGGGGGGAGCAGGCTGTGTGCGTATATGGTTTAAAATCTTCCTATCAAGCGATCGTTTTTTTTGGCGCTCATGGTTGTATACGGCCCCCCGCCCCCCCCCCCCCCCCCCCGTGACAAAGTCGCCACTGCCGTTGGCGCCGACAGGAGGAGGTTCCACGCACGCGGCACGGATCTGATCTGGCGCAGCCTGCCAGGTCCCACGCGGATTGTGCTGAAGTCGCGGAGGTAGTAGCGTTCTCTCCAGCTCATCCTCTCCCCGTTGTACCATGCGTGGGGGTAGAAGTTCGGGAGGAAGCCGTTCTGCATCCAATCCCAAAACGAGCTGACGTCCGTCACCTGCCCTCGGGAATGCAGGGTCACAAAGGGTCGCGCGTCACATTGTGAGGTCGTGCTTCATCACACAAGCACACAAAAAGTGCTTGGCCACAAACAAACAAACAAACGGTAATACCACCCCGCTGCTGATCTCATCAAGGAGCATAAACCATCATCACGTGAACTCTGGTTATCATCCTTGCAGGAGCAGCGGCAGCCTTTCACTGGCAATTGAACAAAGATGGTCGCCGTATGACGCGGCGGTTTCGGAAGGAAAGCTTTTACTTCCGATTTTAGGAAGCCACTGGAGCTGTGCACTTTTAAATAAAGATTAAAAACTAATTTCTTTGCGACTGCGTTTTGCGTTTCGTTTGATGTCCTTCCTCCGCACCTGTGATTAGCACGGTTGGCTATGTATGGTGCGAAAGACGTGCAACACACATAGATACCTACATACATGGTGGTCACCCATTCAAGCACTATCCAGGCTCAACCCCCCCCCCCCCCCGCTTAGCTTCTGACATCTGATGAGACCTGGGCACCTGTGACAGCATTGCCATTCCCTAGCGATGGCAACAACCCTCGGCGCAGACGCAGCGGACTCCCCGGAGCACTCACGTGGTCGAAGCTGTTGAGGACGAACGCGTTGCGGACAGAATTCTGAACCAGAAAGGCGTAGGGGTCCCTGCCACGGTACGTGATGAACACGAGCAGCGCCGCGTGCATCAGGAAGAGGATGAGCTGCCTCACTCGCTCCCACGCCGCGCGCTCCCGCTCACGTGCCCGGCGCATCGCCAGCAAAGCGGCGCCCCGTGGGGGCCCGGGGAGGTAGTCAGCGCTCGGCAGCTCCGCCGCTTGCGTCGGAAGCTTGCAGTGGTCGTCGGCTTTGGGCCACTCGAACGTGTCCGCTGGTTTGTAAGCAAGGTCGGGCCAAAAACCGTACGAGCGGTCAGTGTATCTGAGAGCAAGACGAAGCGTTGGGTGTCGCTGGTGGCGAGATGTTACGAGACGGTACGGTCACATGCCCAGCGGAACCGCTTCCCCATTTTCCAGCCACAACCCGGAGCATAAGCCACAGTGTACGCAGCAGTGGCTTTTGGCTGGCCATCGAACAAAAACGGTTGCCGCATTGTGCACTTTCGGAGGCGCTTCTGCGGCCCGTCTGGAACGCTCTTCCTTCCGTTATGTTAGGCGTCATGGTGGCAAGGTGTTGACTACCTCGCCCGGTATACAGGAGATTCGTGGGTTCAATCCTAACCCTGACGCCTGCTGTATATTTGCAGTTAGTATGTCTCTCTTTCTCCCCGTGGATTTTTCTCCAAGTCTTCCAGTTTTCCCCTCCACATTTAAAATCATGGGTTTAGAGGATTTGACTGCTGTTAAAAAATGTCCACGTGATATGCCACTTTGTTAAGCTATCATTTGTGGCCAGGTAGCTTCTGGAAAAGTGCTATAAAGCTCAGCGGGCATTACCTGATAAAATAAAAAATATATAGTTTTGTTTATTTAAAAAAAAAACCCTGTCCCAGTATTTTCTCCCCGAAAGCTCTTCCACCTTGCGCTATCAAGCACTTTGAGATACCTCGATATGAAAGGCGGTTTATAAAATAGATGTTTATAATTATTACAGGGACTCCTCTACTTATGAACATTTGACTTACGAACTTTCAGAGCAAACCTACTCTTTGGTTCTTTTGGTAAAGTCACGTAGGTAGAAAAATAATACATCACGACATTTCGATCCCAACACAAGCAATCGTCACCAGGTGGGGGACAACCACAGCAAGGAAAAACTGCTGAAGTAGGCGAGAGATCTGCCATGGCACGAGGTTATACAGGCCTCGGTAGTAGGGGGGGAGAGAGGAGGGGGTGGGGAGAAGGCGGGGCAGAAAGTGGACCCCGCGGCAGCACCCGGGTCACTGGAGTAGAGATCGGAGAGAGATGTACAGAGAGACAGAAAGACACAGAGAGTCGGAAATAACAGCTGACATTTGCAGGTAGGATGCAAACATCACAGTCAGTTAAGACTTCACCTGGTTAATTACGTCCTTCCAATGATTGCTCAGTTTGTATCCATCTTCTCGGTTTAAGTTGTGTCTGTGTTTAAATATCTGGATGGCTTCTCTGATAATAGTCAGTTGGTTTGCAGAGTACCTTCGTCTTGGAAAAGTCAATTTCGCGTGAGCCCACAGCGTTAAAACAATGATCAGCACCGGCAGAGGGATTGGTCCTACCGTGTTTCAGATCTGCCCTGTGTTCGCGAACGCGGTCCGAGACATGTTGTTTCATTTCCCCAATGTAACTGTTGCCGCATCCACAACTCAGTTTGTAGACACCCGGGTATTGCATGTCAGGAATCACATCCTTTACAGATGGGATCAAATCACGGATTTTGTGTACTGTGTTGAAACGAACCTGGATCTTGTTTTTGCTTAAGATTTTGGAAATATTTTTGGTAACCCTTGCTATGTATGGCAAAGTGATGGTTGTCTCCCCATGGTTGGGGATGCAGCTTTGCGGATTGTATGATCAGAATATCCGTTCATCCTGAGGGCTTGGTGTACGTGCTCAAGCTGACTGGCTAGGTGGTGCTGGTCGGAGATGCAACGAGCCCTATGGTGTAGTGTTTTGATGAGGGAATTCTTCTAGGCTGGATGGTGGTGGGAGTCAGGCTTTAGATAGGCAGCCATGTGGGTGGCTTTCCTGTAGACAGAGTGTCCCAACGAGCCATCAAGTCTCTTCTCGATCAAAATATCCAGGAATGGTAGCTTGCCATCCTTTTCCACTTCCATGGTGAATTTGATAGATGGGTGTATGGAATTGATGTGGTTCAGTCCTGGCAGGCCATGTGGCCAGATGACAAACATGTCATCTACGTATTTCTTCCACAAGGAAGGACGTAGGGTGGATGTCTGGATGGCTTCTGTCTCAAATTTCTCCATGAAAACATTAGCTGCCACTGGCGATAAGGGAGAACCCATTGGGGTACCCTCATTTTGTTTATAGAATGTATCATTCCAGGTGAAGTAAGTGTTGGTAAGGCAGTGTAAGGCAAAGTTGGTACATCAGGATTCAGTCCCTGTTGGACCAAGTCTTCAATGATTGCAATGGTATCAGGTACAGGTACCTTGGTGAACAGGGAAACTACATCGAGACTGACCAGTAAATAATCTGGAGACAGTGAGATGTCCTTGATTAGATAAACCAAATGAGCTGAGTTAAGTACAGCTGAGGTGGTCTTGCCCGTGAAAGGAAGCAGGGTCTCAGACAGAAATCGGGCCAGTTTATAGGTGGGTGAGTTAATGGTGGAGACGATAGGATGGAGCGGGGTACCTTATTTGTGGATCTTTGAAAGGCCGTAAAATCTGGGTGGTCTAGCAGCTGAAGGGTTTAGAGAGCGCTGCTTGGTCGAATCGATAAGAGAAGTCGAATTAGTGATGATATTGTTGGTTTTTATAGCTAGGCGATTGGTGGGATCTCTGTTGAGTTTGGTATAGCTGCCATCATTAAAAGGTCCTGAATTGTGTTGTTGTAAGTGGTTTTATCCATGATGACAGTGGCATTGCCCTCGTCGGCTGAGAGGATGACAATCTTATCTCTGTTTTTAATTGAGAGAGTTCAAAACGCTCGTCCTTGCTGATGTTGCTAATGGGTTTCCTAGCGTTTGTAAGGATAGCAGCGATTTCAGATCTAGCAATGTCTGCCGGGATGTGTCCCAAGCCTTTGAGGGCTACGTCGACCTGGGCAATGATATCATCCACTGGTATGTGTTTCGGGGTGACTGCGTAATTCAACCCTTTAGCCAGTACCTATTTGAGGCTGTCGGAAATTGGGATGTTACTATGATTCATTACAATCTTGTTAAAATCTAACTTTTTAGCATGTGGCTCTGGCTTTTTTTTTGACAGGAGGTTGAACTTTAAATTTGGTTGACATTGAAGTTGCTTAAGAAACTGTCATATTATCTACATGGTCCCAATCAGATGTGGACATTTTATCTATTAATTCTAAGTGTGATTGTAAGATAACTTTGTCTAAATTATCAAGTTCAAATCGGAGCCATCTTATTTTGTCTGAGATTAGAGCTAGGCTGGCCCTAAACAAGATCCGTTTAGAGTTAGGAGAAGTGACAGCAGCAGATGTGAGTGTAAAGGCGATCAGTATTACTTTGGTGTCGCGGCATCTCTTCAGAAAGGTGAGAGACTCGATAAGGTGAGCCTTCTTGCCTCGCAGTCTGTTAAAATATCTAATAGTTGTGTGGAAACCCTCCCTGTAGAGGCGGTTCAATCTTGATTTGAAGCTTTCGTGACTGCACTTTCTACCCCACTGCGGGGTCTACTTTCTGCCCCGTCTACTCCCGCCCCCCTGCACTCACCCCCCCTACTGCCGAGGCCTGTATAACCTCGTGCCATGGCAGATTTCTCGCCTACTTCAGCAGTTTTTTCTTGCTGTGGTTGTCCCACCTGATGACGATTGCTTGTGTTGCGATCGAAACGTGATGATTTATTATTTTTCTACCTACGTAGAAAAATAATAACCATAGAGTATGGATTCCTGCAGTCACGAATGCTTGTAATTTCAGCCTTATATGTTTGGAATCGACAGGAGTAAAGTTGGACGTACGAACGAATCGACTTACGAACAGACCTCTGGAACCTAACTCGTTCATAAGTAGAGGAGTCCCCGTATTATCATTGGCATCGTGTCGTAAGATGAAGCATCGATATGAATCTCGCGCAAATCATTGTTGTGGTGTAAGAGAATGGCCCCGCGGAGGAAGTGGATATTGCAGAGCTACCTCTGAGATCCCTTTAAGTGACTTCTGGTTCCACACAGTCGTGGGTGTCACTTACTCCCTGCCCTGCCACTTACCACCCGCCCTGCCACTGAGCAATTTTGACGACAGTCAAAGCAATATTTTAGACATTCTCAAGAGCTGGAATTTATCCCATTTAAGTGCAGAACCGAATGTAATTAAAATATTATTTTGTTATTGTTGCTGTGTGTGCAAACATTGGTGATCTGAGACTGAACTCACTACACTCGAGGACCCGGCCTTGTTCAACCCGGCATCTCGGTAGTGCCAGTTCAGTGCCCTGATTTCTCAGCCACCTAGTTATGAGTTCCGTTATATATAATCAGTTTACCTTTGTCCTTAAACAACTCCAACGTGTCGTCGATGTGCAGCGGTTTTCTCTTTTTCTTCATCAGCAGTGACACAAAAAATGCAATGCATACAACCTTGGGAAGAGAGAACAGTTGTTTTACACAGCTGCTTACGCGACGCTGCCATCGTGTGTTGGTGTCTCCACAGCAGGCCAAATTCTACATCGGTCCCAACGGAATCGTCAACTCATTTCCAGTACATTTTTCAGTCCGCTTTACTTTTCAAAATGTTTTTCCCTCCTACTTCCAGCTAACTAAATCAATATTATAACTCGTAGTTATAGTTCATCATTTAATTTAATTCAACATTTCTCATCAGAGGGGCAGCAAAGGTCAATTTTGCTGGGTTGAGAGAATGCGGAATTAAATAGCACAGATATTGGTTCATATTCACACAACACGGTAAAGGTTGCTCACTTTTTAGATGGCAAAAATTACCCTTAAGAAACACTGCAAGGCACAAAACGTGTGGACACACCGATTTAATTAACCCGGCGGTCAAACTCACTTTCACACGAACATTTTATCTCCTTTTGTAAGGTGGGGAGCTGATCAGAAATGTTTCTGTTGTTCATGTGGATGGTGGTGAGTGAGCCGTTGCAAGGGTTCGGGAGCAGCCTCATGGCCAATATCTTGAACAATCGAAGCGGGCCAGTGATGTTGCTGTGCGGTCCGTGGTTTTAGCCTGAGACTCAAATTGACATTCGTAGACTAACACAGAGATCCATTGACTTACACAGAGACTTCAACAGGCAAGAGCTTCGGGAACCAGCCTGGTGAATAACTGGAATGCTGTTGGTGAATGACCGAAGCAAGCAGTGCCGTTACCACATGATCCACGTTATTTTGGATTGTATGCACGTATGTATGAATTGTTGAACTTATTTCGCACCGCACATAGCCAACCGCGCTAATCGGAGGTGAGGGGGCGACGCGGATTGGTGACCACAGTCGCACTGTGGACCACCCTTAATTGTCGATGGGTGCAGGCGAGAGCCGCATGTGGGTCCATTCCCTTCTCTCACGTCAAATCAAAAACGACCCAACGTCGATCTTACCTTGACGGGTTGGACGATGATGATGGACTGAAAGAATGACATGATAAACACGCGCAGCCACAAGTTGGCTTTGTCTGGACCCCACTCCATGCTGTAGAGGATGGTGAAGAAGCCGGAGGTCACCACGGAGAGGAAGACCAGGGACCAGGCCACGAACTTGTAGAATGCGGTCGCCGTGATGCGGCGGCACAGCGGCGGCTTTCTCTGTGGCCCGGGGTCACCCTCCCCCTTGCCGTGGGTCTCGAAGAAGCGGAGCGTGGCTGGGCTGTAGGTCTGCCGTCGGAAGACGGCGACGATGACGAAGCTTATGGGGAAAACGATGAGGTTGCTCATGAGGCCGATGAGCATCTCCGAGAGGCTGAGGGTGAAGGGCCCAATCTGGACGTTGTCGGAGCCGGTGCTGGGGCCTGTCTCGAACCACATGGCGTTGGTGACCATGGTGAGGAAGAGCAGCGACACGCAGCAGGAGATGCGCTGCACGCGGGAGAATGCGCTGCGTGTGGGGCGCATAAAGACGGAGACCCTGGGCGCAAACACAGCAGCAGCAACGACAACAAACACCACGAGGTGTAATGATTTGTAAGCAAGTCTGATGCTACTGGTGGAGGGACTAACTCATTTATTTACAAATGGTTTTTGTGTTTAGTTTGTTGGCTATGTAGGGTGTGAAAGAAGTTCAGTATACATACATTATGACCCTTTACGAAATGAGCAAGGCATTATGGTTCATTTGTTCATTTGTGGCAAGCACTTTACATGAAATGAGTGCGACCTTAAAATGATTTGGTGGCGCTGCTGTGTTTAGTTTGTTGGCTACGTATGGTGCGAAAGAAATTAAACAAACAGTGCATACATTTAGACTAAAGATAAAGGCATAGTCCTGCAATTGCCTCATCACGCCACTTCTGTCAAAAGGGCCTCCACTCAAGATGACCCTGGAGAAGCCCCTTGGCCTACTCTCCCACGCTGGATAATGGATGGCTTTCAACAACATTCTGACAACTATGTTCAGATAGGCCTTACCTGGTAAATTAAATAAATAAAAAGTTAGTTTAGTTTATCAATTGCGTTCATGGGAAATGTCATAAACCGAGGGAGATACCTGTACCCTAAAGAGGGGAGGGAGAGGAGTGTACAATACTCCACTTGTATGTATGTTGGACTTATTTTGCACCATACGTAGTTAACCGTGCTAATCGAAGGTACCGGCGGAAGGACATAAAACTAAACACAAAAAGCAGTACTTTTAAATCTTTAAAAGCACATAGTTCCCAGTCGCGTCCTCACATCGGAGGACCGGAATCCCTTCAATGAGGCCTAGAATCACTCAGATTTGCCAAGGGCCACAGACACCAAACTGGCCGTTTGTTATGCCCAGGTTGCTCGTGCAGTTGGGGTGGGGTAAGCCAGCCTCACACACGCAGTCATCATGAACGTTGAACCCGCACCATTTCCGCCCGTGTTACCGTAGCCTACCACATGTGGTCGTCGGTGATCTTGCTCTGCACCGTCGACGAGAACACCATCCCCGTGCTGGGAACGAACTGGAAGCCGGCCACCGGCAGCTCCCTGCACAGCTGTCCGTCCTCAAACTCCGCCGCCAACCAGCGGTCGCACGGGAATGCGAACCTTTGAACACAGCGCAACTCAAGTGCCGTTCGTTGCTCGACGGTGGGTCAGACGCAGGCGCGAGGTGAAGGCACGGTCCCTGCAAGTGTCCACTGCTCGCTGCCACTGCTGGCGGAAGGGCCCCCACTAGAGGGAGCGCTAGAGAGGGGCGCTGTGGTGGCGAGGAGACGTTAACTACCTCGCCTGATATACAGGAGGTCGTGGGTTTGATCCCGGCTCTGACGATGCATGCTGTATATTTAGAGTTTGCGTGTCTCTCTCTCATCATCAATATCATCACGGTGGCGAGATGTTAACTACCTCGCCTGATAGAGTGGAGGTCGTGGGTTCGATCTCGACTCTGACACCTGTAAATTTGGAGTGTGTGTGTCTCTCGCTCTCTCATCATCATCACAGTGGCGAGATGTTAACTACCTCGCCTGGTATACAGGAGGTCATAGGTTCTATCCCGACTCTGATGCCTGTAAGTTTGGAGTTTGTATGTCTTCCGGTTTTTCCCTCCATATTTAGAATCAACGTACGTTTAGAATATTTGGCTGCTATAAATGTTCGCGTGATGAAAAGCCACTTCGTTGAGCTATAATTTGTGATGGTCAGGTTGCTTCTGAAAAAAAGCTATATAGCTCAGTGGGCCTTACCTGGTAACATAAAAAATGGTTCAGTTCGTATTTTAAGAAGCCGCTCTAGAGGGTGTGTTTGGCCTACTCTTCAACGCAGGCTGTACCTCTCAGGAGAGTTGGAAGTACTAACACTTTACACCACCACACACGACCTGCCGATCACTAACGTTGGTGAAACAATTTACACTGCTGGATGGACAGAGGCGGATTTAAGAAACTTTCGCCGGGAGATCGAACCGGTGACCTCTGGATTGCAAATCCGGTGCGCTGACCATTATGCAATGAGAGCATCCTTACTATTATTAATTTCTTAATTGTATTTCTATATAATAGGGTACTATAATAATTGCAGCGAAATCTAGGCACGGTGTACATCGATTCAGTGAATAATTAACTAATATGCCACATGAGATGCTTGGCTAAGATCCAAATGAACAAACGGACAATGTGTCCAACATTTAAACTTAATACTTTTTGTAGCATTGGTTTCTAAACAAGCAAACTCCATTCTGTACAAAAAAGATGTACGTATGTACGTTGAAACCCTTTCAAACCGTAAGTAGCCAACCAATCGGAGGTGCGTGGGAAGGACGACAAACTAAACGCAAAAAAGCAGTTATAAAACAATGAGTTTTCAATCTGGATGATTTAAAAGTGCAAGGCTCCAGTGGCTTCCTAATATTGGAAGGAAGAGCATTCCAGACGGCCACAGAAGCGCACCTGAAAGCGCGCAATTCGGTGACCATCTTTGTTCGATGGCCGGCCAAAAGCCGCTTCCAAGCAGCGTAAAGTCATTAATTCAGGGCAGATTACTGTTAGACCGATAGTAGTGCGCACCCAGACACATGCTGACCGAGGCGACGTACGTTTGTTTGGCGTGGATGTCGTGCAGGAGGATGTGCCGTAGGAACCAGGAGCCCTGCCCTCCGGGCCCGCTGTTGTCATGCCAGATCGTGATGTTCCTGGGCTCGCCCCAGTAATAGGGCACGGTCATCTCGAACGTGACCGTGCTGCCGCGGCTGAAGCCCTGCACGAGACCGCATGCACACACGCGCTTACTCGTATGTCCGTATACGCAGGGGGGCCGGATTGAGGTGGCGGCCCTTCACACAAAGATGGTGGTCACCGCATCCTTCCGATATTAGGAAGCCACTGGAGCTATGCACTTTCAAATAATCTCGATTGAAATCTAATTTATTTTTGTGTTTAGTTTGTTGTCCTTCCCTGCGACTCCAATTAGCAAGGTTGGCTTTGTACGGTGCGAAAGAAGTTCAAGATACGGTACACACAAGGCAAATAATAATAATCAGGATATTGAATATCGAGCGAGAGGACTCTTACCTTGAGGTGTCCATTGTGCAGGATGCGGGTCCCCGTGTCGCCCAGGCTGAAGTGCACGGTGAAGTAGACCCTGGACTGGGTGCCGGCTCCTGCCCGCATGCCCGTGACGATGCTCAGCAGGTACACATAGGCGTGCGAGTCGTCGTTGTCCACCAGGGGCCTGATCTTCCACTGTGACGCAACATGGAAAAAGCCCCCACATTTACAGACTATCGCCATTTGGGCAGCTTGTGCTGATTTGCACGGGAGATGTTGGTGGAAAATAGTGGCTGTTTTTTTTCATCATTCCCACTTTCGTGCCAAAATTTTACCACAGAGTGCCCCTCCACCGATGTACAGGGGCACCACGGTAGTGAGATATTAACTTCCTCACCTGGTATGTAGGAGGCTGTAGGTTTGATCCCGACCCTGATGCTTGTTGTATATTTGGAGTTTCTGTGTCTCTCTATCTGGATTTTTCTCCAGGTCCTCCAGTTTTTTCCTCCACATTTAGAATCAACGTCTGTTTAAGGGTATTTGGCTGCTATAACTTGCCACGCGATCATAAGGCACTTCGTTGAGCTATCATTTGTGATGGCCGGGTCACTTTGACAAAAAGCTACATAGCTCAGTGGGTCGTAACTGGATCGAACCCGCGACCTCCTGCATACCAGGCGAGGGAGTTAACATCCCGCCACCACGGCATTAGATTCCATGCCACGGCTAACGTCGGTGTAATGCGCTATCTGAACCGGGGGAACCCTATTGATCAATCTATCGATCAATCAATCATTGTTTCTTCCCCAGTGTCTGCGTACATTGTCTTTGTCGCGGCGGTCGGCCCTGCGGGCGTAGAGCAGCAGCAGGAGGTAGAGCAGCAGGATGGCGATGACCGTGGTGAAAACGGCCGCGTTGCTCCTCAGGTCGAACTTGGCGAACACCGTGGTGAAGTCGATGGTGTTCGGAGGCACGAAGAACTCAGCGGCGAAGGTGGCCCTGGCGAGGGCCCCCGTGGTCAACGTGGCCACGCAGACGGTCTCCTCCGCCGACGAATCTGGGTGCACCTTTGCACGATCGAGGTCGAGTCAGGTTTGCCCTTCCTGCACTTTTTTGCGCACTCCCTAATCCCGTGTTTGTATCGTTTTGTTGCTGTTGTTATTGTTGTTGTTGCAACATTCTGACCCGCCCCCTGACTAGACATCTGCGAAAACGAGATGTGTTGCTCATCGGATTCCTCCAGCATGGATAAATAAATTGATTTATAATTCGAATCTGATATTTAGTATAACCAGGGTGACACCTCAAAAGAGCAGGAGAAGTCTGGTTTGCAAAAGGTGACACCTGGGTCAACAAAATTACAAAAACAAAACAAGATAAAATGTACGTATGTATGTACATTGAACTTCTTTCACACCGTACGTAGCCAGCCGTGCTAATTGGAGGTGTGCGGGGAGGACAACAAACTAAACAGAAAAAGCAGATCCAAAGAAATTTGTTTTCAACATAGATTTAAAGGTGCGTAGCTCTAGTGGCTTCCAAATGTATATGTGTTGACATCGCGGATGTCACTGTGTAATGCCGGCCCTAGAGAGGCACGGTGTGCGATGTATTGACATCGCGGGCACCACTTGGATGTGGGTGCAGTACCGGCCCTAGAGGGGCTCGGTGAGCGCTGACTGGCAGTGCTGAGTGGCACCACGCTCTGCGTGCAGTGCCGACCTCGACAGGATAGGGTGGGAGAGTGCCGGCCATAGTAGTGGCGTTACTAAGGGCCATGGAATTCTGGTTGACCCTAGAGGACACGTGACCGGTAAAGTCTACACAGGGCCCCCAGGTGGTGGCTAGGGGTAGTCACGTGTCAGGGTGGAAATCCTGCTCGAGGATTCTAGAAGGTGGTCATGGCTTAGGGCGGAGCCGGCTATGCCACAGAGGATATAAGCCAGGTCCCAGCGAGGGACCGGCTGCTGTTGTTCATCCTGAAAAATCTACGTTCTACGTCCTATGTCCTACAGAGTCACCAACATGTGGACCGGGACCCAAGCTGTGGTCTGGTCCCTCGTAGCTAGTTAGTTATGGTGTAATTAGTGTAGTTAGCCTGGTGGTCCACCACCATAGGTTGTTATCTGGTTTCAGGGGCAGTTACCCCTTTGTGTTGGTATTAATAAATGTGTTGCCTCCAAAGAGTACGTCTGCGACTCAGTTGAACTCACTACATATGTATGTTGAAATATTTTCACACCGTACGTAGCCAGCCGTGCAAATGGGAGGTGCAGTGTTGAGTCTCTGGGTAGTGTTAGTCTATGGGCACTATGGTACATATGTTGAACTTCTTTCGCACCGTAAGTAGCCAACCGTGTCAATGGGAAGTGCGCAATTGATGAAGCGAATAGAAATCGGAGCAAAAACAACTGCGTCACCTCGCAAGCAATCAAAAATATTGCACAAGCATGAATCGATGTTAAATAATGATTCCCCCGTAGCTCGGGCAGGTAATATTTTTTTAAGTTCATAACAGTACAATTACTATTAACTTACAGAAACGTGAAACGGCTATAGGGTTACTGTTGCGATAATATGTAAACAGAAATATGTTGTGTCAAATGCAATTCCCAGTGAACCCGTTGGGTGTACAGGCTGCGTCAAGAGTAGTCTGGGACTGAACATAACGATTTCAGGACTGGGTTGTAAGCCGATGATGATGATGATATTTATTTACCCAGGAGAATCTCAAAGACTCGTGAGGGAGGGGGGGGGGGTAGCCTGGTGGATTTTACAGGAGGAGATGGGGGGCTATTCCACGCATCTTCCCCAATTGAGTAATCGGCTGTTAATATTATTTTAGTCACCTGTCATTGCCCAGGGCCTCTTGCAGTGACAGAATGAGAATCGGAAGGAGTGTCTTTTCCACTGAGTAAAGTCCGTAGAGCTAGGAAGAACTCTTTTACGAGGGTGGCTCATCCACATTACATCAAAGTATTCCTCGATTACAGATTTAAAGAAAAACGTAATAATACCAATTATGTTGTAAAATTACAATCACACTTAAACTTTCGTGATTTTAACCGAGTCAGCTGAAATGGGGACATAGATGTTGGAGTGGAAATGCCAAGAGACGACACTATGTGGTTCCAAACGTTTTGGGACAGCAGCTACATTAAATGCTTTTGATCCGAATTTTGCACGAAATCTGGGAACTGTTAATTGGCAATAAGACGTGCATTGCCACAGATAGTGGAGAATTGTCTGATGGTTAAAACAACAGGTCGGACAAATAAAGGGCAGATCTACGGACAACAGCCTTGTAAATGAAAATTTCCCTGAAGTGAAATTGTCCTCTTACATCCAACCACATTTGTCCACCCATGGCATAGATGTCACAGTGACGCGTCCTCTGAGCTGCATCCACTGTGGATCATAATGCAGCACTGTGTGTATATAATGTAATGTGGGGAGCGGAAGCGTAGCGATTATTAGGCTGCACTACAAACCTGGCGACCCGGGTTCGAATCCCGCTTACGGCCAACACGAGTGACGGTTATCTGAACCAGTCCTGGTAAATATTGCCACGAGGGAGACAAAAGCGGCCGGGCGTGGTGTTGGCCACAAACCCCCTCATGTGCTGTGCCGGCCTTCATAGGTGCTCACTAACAGCACTTGCCCCAACAGTCTGTTTTAGGCTTTGTCTTTGTAATGTAAATAGTAATTTAAGAAACGCATTGCTGACCCCATCACACCGTGTTCATTAAATTAAATTCAATATTTCCCTTGAAGTGGTTGAACTTAATGTTTTTCTCCTTGCGTTTGTCGGGTGGAGAATTATTCCACGAGACACGGGCCCAGGCACCTTTGGAAAGCGCTGTCGCTACACGTCTCTAGGTCAGGGATTTGTGTCAAACGACAACGACGATGATGAGATCACCACGAGCAGTAGCAGACCCGAGGTGTTGTCGTTTTCCCGATCATGGGCTACGGGTGCGCACAACTCCCGACAAATAACGGTACAGTCAGGCGGATCTTACACTTTACACGCTCTGGAACCGGAAGTCCAATGAAGTCAAATTCGGCCCTTAGTAACTTAAATAATTTCCCCATCGGTGGAGTGGGACGCATCACTCACCTGAGCCACACCGGTCATCCAGACGTTACGTTCGGGGTCCCAGATCTTGCAGGTCAGCCTGTGGAGCGACATGGCCATGGACGCCGTGACGTTATTGGTGAGCGCCCTCTTTGCTCTCCGATTGCTTGCATCGGTCGAGTTACCTGTGGCAACAAGGATGAGCATTGTGTGAAGCATTGGGGGGGAAGGTTTAGAAGTTGAGTGCCAGCTGGAATAATTCACGGCGGATCTGTCGTGACTCCGCGATTTCAGCGTCTGGACAATTGCCGCAGAGCTGCTTCCACCTCCCCAGCTGTTGATCGCCAAGAAGAATCACCGCCGTATAGGCGAGGCCATGTTCGCAAATTCCTCTAAGATGTAGAGCGTGTGCTCGATACTCGCTGTTTGCATCGCATGATCTGAAACCAGGATTGTAACCGAGATCCGCGCTGGACAACATACACACCTCCGACTAGCACGGTTGGCTACGTACGGTCTGAGAGAAGTTCAACGTACGTATGGACGTGGGGGAGAATAGAAGCACAGTATCTGATGTGCGTGTTCAGTGTTGTTACATCATCATGCAAAAAAGCAGTGACGCGTAAAAATATTGTACGTGGTAAATAAACCGTTCTCACAGCCGATTAATTCACACACTTTTCAATGGATGCAGCTCTCTTATGGCACTTGTTGACGCAGAGGTGATGATAATCTTAGCAGCGTTTAAATCGCATAGAAGCGAAACATCAACCCCTGTGTCCCGGAAAAACAGACCTCATTAGGTAAACCGTGGTGAGCCAGAATACCACCCCTGTGTTCCAGAAAACAAACCTCATGAGCTAAACCGCGTAGTACAGCCGGAACACGTGTTCAACAAAGCAGCGTTGGGCAAGGTTATCCCGAACACCCGCTATAGTTTTGCTGTGATCTCCTCTCTACACTTCCCGCATCATGGCCGCGTGGTCAACCGCCCCATGCGCCGGCCAGACTCGAGTTCCCCCACGCTTGTCGATTCCGAGCGATCTGTCCGGCTCCCGGTTCTGAGCGGAGGCGTACCGGTCGCCCTGAGGCCCAGGAAGTAAACGCCGACCTTGACGCTACCGCTCGGCACGAACACGGAGTACTGCCCGTCTTGGGGGAGGGAGAAGCGGAAGTCGTAGTCGGGCGGCCTCGCGGACGGCGTGCCGTTGAACTTGAGGAATACGTCCAATTCGAGCTCGCCCGTCGCTGGCGGCGGCGTGAACTTCATGAAGATCGCCGAGGCGGCCGTGCCGATATCGAACTTGCTGATGGCGAGGCAGTCGGTGGCAACGGTGCAGTTGGGCACGGCCATCGCGATAGGCTGCACGGCGTCCCGGTTTCGTAGGCTCACCACAACGCTCGCGCCCGAGCCATTATGCTCCGCGCTCACGCTCAGCTGCACCACTGGAGAGTTGATTCTGGAACTTGCGTCCCACACGTACGGGTTTTTGTCAAACGAAAGAACCTGTGAGAGATCATGCAGAGAAAAGAGTGCAACTTTTGCCGGCATCTTTTAAAATGCAAAGTGTAAAAAAAAGTAATGATAATTTGCTGATCTTTGTCAATGAAACAGTCAATATGATATATCCAACGGGCATATCATCTATCTTCTATCCTAAGTATACTAGGCTGGCATATCCCCTATCTTAGGGGGAAGGACGACAAACCGAACACAAAAAGGAGTGATAAAGAAATAAAATAAAAATAATATATCACGACGTTTCGATCGCAACACAAGTGGTTGCCCTCAGGCGGAAAAAATATAATCCAGCAGTGGAACTGCTGAACCAGGAAGAAACACAGCGGGAGAGCTGTTACAACAAGACGTTATATACGTGGCGAAGGGCAAGCAGGCAGGGTCTCAGCTGGAAAGGAATTATATCCCCGCACGCAAGCACCTCAGTTGTGTTAATGGAGGGGATTAGGGAGAGAGATTACCATGAAATGAGCTTTCGTCGCCGCATAAGAGTATCGTCCCCGCATATGCGCACAACAGCAGTGTTAATGAGAGATTAGCACTATGCTGATGGGGAGAGATCAGGCAGAGATATTAGGGGGATTAGCAGGTTAATGTCACGACTATGTGTAACACAAGCTGCGGCGCTGCCAACTGCGCTGTGAGAGGCAAGCGTGTCCACGCAAGAGAACCACCGCAATGGTGGTCGCACCAGTGAGAAACACAGGCCATCACACAGCCAGAACCATCGATACATCGTGGCTAAGGGAGCAGAGGTGACCATGTTAGTGAGACCCCAGCCCGTTAATGCAGAGGGACCCAACAGGGCAATGCAACTCAGAGAGTCGGAGATAAACAGCCAAACGGCAGGGAAGAATGGAAGCACCACAGCAAGTTACGACTTTGTTTGGTTGCCAGCAACCACGCCAGGTCGCCTTTGTCTCCACAGTGGCGATGTTTACACAGCGCACTGAATGCAATAACGCTGGCACACACACACATGCACCTGTATGTTCGCCGTCTGAAGTAGGAGTTCATCTGAAACGTTTGTGAAGGACGCGTTCAGATTGGTAAGGCCATTGTCCCACTGTTTGTCCTGCACGCTGCCGAGGGTGTTCAGGCCCATTGTGACGCTGAGGTTGTTTGCCGTGACCACGATCGGCTCTTCCCCAAACACCATGGCGTCCAGCATCATGCCGGTGAAGTCATCCATTGCCTGCTTGCAACTGTCAACCACCTGCATCGTCTGCGGGGATGATGGAAGAAGATGAAGCCAAGTGCCCTCAACTCAATACGCTCAGCGCCAATAACACCATTGTGTGTGGCATTAAAATGAAAAGTATATACAGCCGACGATTTGGACAGTGGCCATTCTTTGCATCACATGAATCATCTATGCAGAAGGGCCATTGCTTGAAACGTTGCCCATTATAAAAAAAAAATTCCTGAGGCCACAGTCCTATTGACGAGTGTGTCGACTATTTTTTCGTCGTCAATTGTGCATGTAAGAGCAGCACCGCCAACGCTACAGCAGCAACATTGTCGAATAACGCGTTTATCTTGATTTAAAGCTTTCGTGACTGCAGTAATTCATATTCCTAGCTCTTTCGGTAAAGTCACGTTGAAGGGAAACATATATTTTATTATTTTATTGTTTCCCTTCAACGTGACTTTACCGAAAGAGCTAAGAAAAACGCGTTTATCTTTACTCTATTTGCTGTGCGATTAGAAGCGACCGGGTAGCTTCCGGGGCACGGTCAATGGCAGAGCAACGAAGCTGATTCAATCCACCGCTGGATTAGGGGGCCTCCTTCCAACGCCTGGGCGGGTCACGGAGATGACCGGACCACGGCCTCGGGGCCCCTCAGTGCGGGGCGGTGAGGGCAGGGAGGCCCCCCACCTCAGAACCCCAAGTTGGATCGAGCACCGTGAGCGCTTGGATTGGTGACTGCCACGCACAAACAGCTTGCAACAGCAGCCGTGGGGTTGCACAAACAAATGAAGGTACAATACAAAGTCTTTCCCAAGTTTTCCTCTGCTTATTCAATAACATTTTTATATATTTTTTTCATACATAAACTATATATATTCAAAACAACCACTATGAACTATTTCATAACACCAGGTCAGGTCCACTGAGCTGTGTAGCATTTTTTTCAGAAGCGACCTGGCTATCGCACATGATAGCTCTCAATGAAATAGTATAGCATGTGGAAATGTATCTCAGCTAAATACTCCACACCCCTTGCGGAGCCAGTGGGGGGGGGGGGGGGGGGGTGGCACGTGCCCCCCCCCCCCAATGCTCCGATCGAAATCCCTCATTTCGATCGGATCATTGGGGTTTATTAGCAATAAATCGGCATTTTGCGACCCCCACTGCCACTGTTTAGCATATTATTACGTGCTAGGGTCTCTATGAGATGATAGGACAATAGTCTGAGTCCATAATTGGCAATAAGTATCGGCAAAGCAGTTATAAGTGACGAATAGAATTGTGCCCAGTTGCGTATAGAGTACACGACTTCCCTGAAGGCATTCACCTTCAACGAGCGCGATGCCGATCACACATGGTTCGAATGACCGGACGCCACCGATGTTAGCTGTGACCTAGAATCGAACGCCGCAGTGGCGGGATGTTAACTCCCTCGCCTGGTATGCAGGAGGTCGCGGGTTCGATCCAGGTACGACCCACTGAGCTATGCAGCTCTTTGTCAGAAAGCGACCCGGCAATCACATGATAGTTCAATGAAGTGGTTTATGATTGCGTGGCAATTTATAGCAGACAAATGATTCTCAATGTGGAGGGAAAAACCAGAGGACCCGGAGAAAAATACACGTGATCACAGGGAGAGAGACATACACAAACTCCAAATATACAGCAGGTGTCAGGGTCTGGATCCAACCCACGACCTCCGGCATTCCAAACGAGGTAGTTAATATCGGTGGATAGGAGATGTTAACTACCTCACCTGGCATTCAGGCGTCAGGGTCGAAATCGGGCCCACGACTTCCTGTATATCCAGGCGAGATAGTTAACATATCCTAGCCACCGTGATAATGATGAGAGAGACACGCAGACTCCAAATATACAGCAGGCATCGTCAGCGTCGGGATCGAACCCACGACCTCCTGTATACCCAGGTGAGGTAGTTAACATCTCCTAGCCACCGTGATGATAATGATGAGAGAGACACGCAGACTCCAAATATACAGCAGGCATCGTCAGGGTCGGGATCGAACCCACGACCTCCTGTATACCCAGGTGAGGTAGTTAACATCTCCTAGCCACCGTGATGATAATGATGAGAGAGACACGCAGACTCCAAATATACAGCAGGCATCGTCAGGGTCGGGATCGAACTCACGACCTCCTGTATACCAGGCGAGGTAGTTAACATCTCCTAGCCACCGTGGCGCCCCTATTCAAGCTCCCCCCGCATGCATGTCCGTGTACCCTCTGATAAATTGAAGTGTTCCCTCACCTGCGGGGTTTGTTGGGCGAGCCGCTCGCGGTACACTTCGCTCTGCTGGAGCCGGAACCTCTCGGCTTCCTGTGGGTTCATGTCGAGGCTGTCGGGGGAGTAGTCAGCGTCGAGGGCGGCGGCGGCGGCCGCGGAGACGCGGTCGCTCGACGTCGCCGTGAGGCCCCCGACGACGCCGACCAGGGCTTGAGGCCGGAGACGGGGGGTGGGGGGGAGAGTGGGGGTGAGGGGTGGAGGGGCAAGAGCCGCTCAGATAATGGATGTGGAAAACCAGGAATGAAGTTATTAAAGACGAGAGGTTCAGGATCGAACCCAAGGCCTCCTGCATACCAGGCGAGCGAGTTAACATCTCACCACCGTGGCACCCACTGTGGCGCCCATTAGCACGGTTGGCTCTGTACGGTACAATAGAAGTTCAACGTACATATATACTGCCCATCGACTAACACGACCCATAGACTCAATGCTGCACATTGATTAGCATGGTTCGTTACGTACGGTGCAAAAGAAGTTAAACGTACATACTACGTGGAGAGTATTCCTTGGATGTGAACTGCGTGCGACGGTCAAGTGCTCATGCACTCAAAGCACAATGCACAGCACGGCCCACAGGTGGCATTCACCTCCTAAGTTTATGCTGATCTGGTAATCATAATACTTTCATTTTACACTAGTTAATTAAGCCTGTCTTCGCCAGGCAAATGTTTTCATAAAATATAATTAACCTGATATGATATATATATTATTTCAACAATTTTTTTTATCTACGATCAGACCACGAACAACTACTTCAAACAATTGGATTTTTCTTCGCAAAAAAACACTAATTGTTGACAACTTAACTCAACTTTAATTCTAGATTTAAAGCTTTCGTGACTGCAAGGATTCATACTCTTTGGTTTTTTCGGTAAAGTCACGTAGGTAAAATTAAAATAAAATAAATGAAAACAACTAAATTAAATCACGACGTTTCGGAGGCAACACAAGCTTCCGTCTTCAGGTGGAACAGTGACAGCAGAATAGCTGTATCGTGTCCACGATCAACTCCCCTACCTACAAGCTAGCCCGTTCTTTATCGGACACTCTGCTTCTCTTCACTGGCAAGACCACCTCAGCAGTACTTAACTCAACCCAATTGGTTTCTATGGTCAAGGACATTGTACTGTCTTCTGACGATATCCTCTTCAGCTTTGATGTGGTCTCTCTGTTCACCAAGGTCCCAGTGCCTGACACCATAACAATAATTGAAGATTTGGTCCAACATGACCTGAACCCTGATGTTCCTGCGCTGGTTAGGCACTGCCTCACCAACACTTACTTTACCTGGAATGGTACCGTCTACAAACAAAATGAGGGTACCCCTATGGGTTCCCCCCTGTCACAAGTGATAGCCAATGTTATCATGGAGAAATTTGAATCAGACGCCATCCAGACATCTACCCTTCGTCCTTCCCTATGGAAGAGATATGTGGATGACACTTTCGTCATTTGGCCACATGGCCTCCCAGCATTGAACCACATCAATTCCAGACACCCATCCATCAAAATCACCATGGAAGTGGAGAAAGATGGCAAGCTGCCATTCTTGGATGTTCTGTTTGAGAGGAGGACTGATGGCTCTTTGGGACATTCTGTTTACAGGAAGTCCACCCACACAGACTCCTACTTGAAGCCTGATTCCCACCACCACCAGTTCAAAAGAATTATCTCATCAAAACATTATGCCATAGGGCTCATTGCATTTCTGACCAACACCACCTGGCCAGTGAATTAAAACATGTACATCTGGCCCTCAAGATGAACGGATACTCTGACCGTACTATCCGCCAAGCTGTTTCTCCCACCATACAGAAACAACCACCTGATACTCCAATCAAAATCATCACGTTACCATACTTAGCAGGCGTTACCAAAAATATTTCCAAAATTCTAAACAAACACAAGATCCTGGTCCGGTTCAATACAGTACACAAAATCCGTGATCTGATCCCATCCGTAAAGGATGTCATTCCTGACTTACAGTACCCCGGTGTTTACAAATTGAGTTGTACCTGTGGTGACTGCTATATCGGGGAGACGAAGCGACATATCTCTGACCGAATTCGCGAGCACAAATCAGATTTGAAACATGGCAGAGCGAATTCTTCGGCCGTGGCTGATCATTGTTTCAACACAGCGGGTTCTCATGACATTGTTTTCTCCGATACCAAAGTACTATGCAAACCTCCCGGTTATTACCAAAGATTTGTTCATGAAGCCATCCAGATATCCAAACGTAGACACAACTTCAACCGAGAGGATGGTTTCAAATTGAGCAACCATTGGAAAGATGTTATAAACCAAGTCAAACTTTAGCTGTCTTATAATTGTACAGCCATTGCCATTTCTTCCAGTGGGTTGTGTGTACTCATGCATCTCTCCCCCCGAACCCCCTGCAGCATAACAAAAGACGGCTTAACTTAGCCCTCCCCCCCACCCATGTCCCTTCTTGGCTCCCCCCCCCCTTAACCTGTATATAATCTCGGTTGTCTCAGAGCTCTCCACTTGATACAGCTATTCTGCTGTGACTGTTCCACTTAACTCAACTTGTTATATGGAAAGACGTACCAAACGGAAACCGCTCAATTTAAAGATTCCGTTATGTTTTTACGATAAAGAACAAAAAATATGAACTTAATACTCTGAGAGGGGAAGCTCCTATCTTTGACCGTTTTCAGATTTGAACATCATAAAATGCGTATTTTTTTCGTTCAAAACCGCTTGAATCCGAAATATGTCAAAAAATAACCTAGAAGAATGGTTCCCGCTTTAATATTATTTGCTGTTTAACGCTCTATCAAACGAACCAAACTCAACCTTATATTTTGAACGGTTTTTGAATGACACGCACGCACATGTTTATGCGGCACTTAAAATCGAGATTAAGAGGCCTTAAAATGAAAAGTCTCGGATGTTTTTTTATTTCCCTGTTTGTGTCCTAAAAGCGTTTTACATACCAAATTTCAGTTTTCTGCCTTGTCGGGAATTACTATTGAGGTTTTTGAGAATACAGATTAAGGTATTTATTTGTACAGATTTATATTGATATCAGCGTCATTCATGCTTAAAGCATCCCACGACGCTGTACGTCAAAATTTTATAGAATGACCATAATCCCGTATACCCGGTTGGCTACGTACAGCGCGAAAGAAGCCCAACACACACAAACACACAAATTAATAAACGCCACCAAAACAAAAATCACAAACAACAACAAAAGTTATGACAACAAAGAAAGCCGAGGTGCCTTGTGTACAACATTACCCAGGGCGAAGGGCAACTTGCCCCAAGGAAAAACACTCACAATCAGAATATTTATTTAGACTGGAGGAATCCGATGAGCTATACAGCTCTTTTTCACAGATGTCCAGTAGGGGTAGGTCAGAAAGTACAACAACAAACAGTACAAAAACACGATAGGAGGTGCAAAATATCGGAAAGGTAAATAAATCACGTAAAAAATAAACAAATAGAAATAAAACTTATTTTGTTATTTTACCCACTGAGCTATTAGCTTCTTTTTCAGAAGCGACCTGGCCACAAATGATAGCTCAACAAAGTGACTTTTAACGTGGAAATTGATTGCAGCAAAATTATATAAATAATATTAACGCACTGACCCTGGCACTGCGTGAGAAATAGTTATCCAAAGTATATAAAACAACAAAATAATCACTTACAATGCCAGCCACTGTGGCGTCACGGTCAGCATGCTGGACCTGCAAGGTCGCTAGTTCGATTCGATGCCCTGGCCCATCAAAGCACTGTCCAGCAACAGCTTCCCACAGAGCCCTTAATGAGCACAACATCTATAGCTGTCAAAGAGCTCGCAGCATATTTTACCAGACTGGTGGTGAAACATGAGAGTGGAAATGTAATCGGCTACAGGAGGCCCACCATGATAATAAAACAGTATTAATACATGCGATGTGTGCCGTGTAAAAATAAACAGCGTGAGAGCTGCTAAGTGAGACATTTGATGACAGTCCAAACAAATGAAAGCCAATCGGATAAAAAAAAACACAAAGGAAATGTAAATGTGTGTGTACACTGTGAAATTGTATGCTCTTCTAGACGGTGTACGTATTTATGTAGAATTTATTTCGCACCGTACAGAGCCAACTGTGCTAATCGGAGGTGCAGTTTTGGGTCTGTGGGCACTGTTGAGTATATGGGTAGTGTTTGTCTATGATAAGTATGTATGAATGTTGAACTTATTTCGCATGGGACGTAGCCAACCGTGTTAACCGGGGGTGCAGTATTGAGTCTATGGGCAGTGTTGAGTCTGTGGGTCGTGTTAGTCTATGAGAAGTATGTTTGTGTAGTGGGTTCAACTGAGTCGCAGACATAGACTTTGGAGGCAACGCATTTTATTTAGTTCCAACACATGGGGTAACTTCCCCTTAACAGAATAACAACCTGAGGTGGTGAATACCCGGCTAACTACACTAGTTACTATGTAACTGTTACTACGGACCCGGGACCAACAACATCTGCCCGGGTCCACGTGCTGGAAGACTCGTTGAACGGAGATCATAGACGAAGGGTTTCTTTCCCGGGATGAACAACCCTGGTCCCTCTTGGGACCCAGCTGTGGCTCCGGCCTTGGCCACATCCACCTTCCAGAATCCTCGGGAAGGATCTGGGTCCCAATCACGTGACCCCCCTAGGCCCCTCTTGTGTCCTCCTGGGTCGGCCAGAGTGCCATTTCCTCACACAACCTTACCCTTCGGTCGACACCCACATACTATTTCCTGTAGGGCCGGCACTGGACTTACAGCCTGGTGCCATCCTGCGATATTATCCAGTGGACACCGTGCCTCTATAGGGCCGGTACTACACCCACGACATGGTGGTATCCAGCGATGTTGTTACATCGCACACCGTGCCCTTCTAGGGCTGGTACTGCACCCACAGGATGGTGACATCCAGCGATGTCACTACATCACGCCCCTCACCCTTCGTAAAACTCAGCCGTCCCGGCTTTCAACTCCCCCTCAACAAAGCAAAGCCCCCTAGCGTGCCTCAACAAAAAAATACCCCATCCCATATATACCATATTTACAATATATACAGTGACGGACGGGGGAATGGAACAGAGGTAGAGAACCCAACAATAGGCAACAACACAATGGAAGAGAGAAAA